ACAACAACAACAACAACACCAGCAGCAGCAGCAGCAACAACAGCAACAACAACAACAACAAAAACAAACACAACAACAACAACAACAACACCAACAACAACGCACAACGCACAACGCACAACGCACAACGCACAACGCACAACGCACGAAACACACGAAACACACACAACACACACAACAACACACAACAACACACAACAATGCACAACAACACACACAACCACACACAACAACACACACACACACAACAACACACAACAACACACCACAACACACGACAACACACAACAACACACGCAACACACAACAACACAACAACGCAACAACAACACACAACAACACAACAACACACAACAACACACACAACAACACACAAACAACACAACAACACACCACAACACACACAACAACACACAACAACACACAACACACAACAACACACAACACACACAACACACACACACACAACAACACACAACAACACACAACAACACACAACAACACACAACAACACACAACAACACACAACAACAACAACACACACAACACACAACAAGACACAACAACACACACAACACACAACAACACACAACAACACACAACAACACACAACAACACACACAACACAACAACAACACAAACAACACACAACAACACACCACAACACACCACAACACACACAACAACACACAACAACACACAACAACACACAACAACACACAACAACACACAACAACACACAACAACACACAACAACACACAACAACACACAACAACAACAACAACAACAACACGAACACGAACAATACCAACACCAACAACACGACCAACAACACCAACACCACCAACAAACCCAACCACACCAACAACACTAACAACACTAACAACACCAGAAACACTACCACCACCAACAACACCAATACCAACAACACCAACAACACCAACACCACCAGCACCACCAACACCACCAACACCACAACCACCACCAACCCCAACCACATCGCCGAAGCCTTTCAGTCGCTTTTACCAGACTTCCCTTCATATTTTTGGAAAGACAATGGCCGCGTCGCTTTTACCAGACTCCACTTTATGTTTTTTTCCCTGCCCTCTCCCCTTCATTTTTTCTTCGGTTCCTTTCTTGCTTACCTACCTTTCGTGTTCCCCCTCTCAAGTCAAGGCTGGTCGGCCTCCATGTTGCTGGGCCTTGAAGACTCATGTCGCATCACATTGTTTTCGCAACTGGGAAGCTCCCTGTTTTTGTCCAAGTGCAGGTTGTTGATTCCAGCGGTCTTTATGGCTACATGGAGCAATCTGATTGTCTTTCGCATGGCCAAGTGGAAGTTCAACGCAAAAGTTCCAGATCTCGAAGATGGTGAGACAGCAAACATGTCCCGAAAGTACATGCACTTTTCCCTGGGTGTTCTACTGATCTTTCAGAGCCTTGGAAAGACAGAAAAAGATACACAGTTCAGTAGGGATCGGTGTAATTCATTACGGGAATCCTATTGAAACTAACCAATAGAAAGGATAACGCTTTTAGCTGCTGTTTCAGTGGATGTTGCCTTGCTTCGAGACTTGTCACTCTCGAAATGATACTTGCAGTGCCTGCATCGGCGTTTGTGTTTTCGTCATCTCACCTTTCTGATGCAGCCATGGAAGATTTTGACATCGATTTTGTGTCAGGATTTGGTTTGCTTTGACTTCCAGAATGTGTGGTACATCATTTGTCATCTTGGCAGCTGTCGTTTACGTCTGTGACTCTTTTTCACTCACAGCCCCTAGACATCCAACGTGTTTTCGCTGGGATTTTTGGGAGTGGCGGTTGGTGACTCCGGGTGGTTCCCAACCTTAAAATACTTCGTCGCAGTGGAGGTGCAGTTGGGGTTATGAGTGGATTAAAAAAAACACCATGGCAATGACCTTAGAGATCTCCAGGGGTAAACTAACAGAGATGTGGAAAAACGATGAAATTTATGGATGAATTACCTACGAAAAAAAGGTGATTTTCCGCATCTATGTTAGTTTGGTTCAGGGTACCCTTTTTTAGTTGGGATATAAGCCCTACAACTGTGATGATATCTCCAATTATCACCGAAACTGCACCGCCAAGTACTTCCATATTACGGTGATTGAGTTGCTCTCTCAAAGCCCGGTTCCCTCAGTTTCTGGCAGATTATTTGCCGAGATTCTTTCAATGACAATATTCCGTGGGTTTGAAAGTAGGGTCCCCCAAACTCCCATGGTTTGAAACATCGATGTTTCCTCAAACATTTGCGTTTTTTTCAAGGCTATAGCTCCCATTTCCACAGAACGCTAGCTAAAAATTGACAGCTTCACCAGCGGTGAAGCTACCCGGTAGGCCGGTCATGCCGTACGGGGAATAGATCCCTACATATTCCATCATTCATGCCATCCGTAAAGCTGGTAATCTCATCATTTATCATCCCCCTCTTGGTGGTTGAAACATGTTGAAACGTCGCATTGCAGCTTTAAACCAACGTAGCTATCAAAAGTCAATCTGGATGAATTAAAACGACCTCACTGCAATGTTACTGGAATGTTGGTTGGTAGGAGTAACTATCCCAAAAGGCCTTGTTTCAGGTTGGTGAATTCTGATGATTTGTCCAGATATATTTCCATAAGATAGAAATCCCATTCTCTATCCATATCGTTCCCATTCTTAATATTCTCACATTATTGGTTGTTGATTGGGAATTGTTGTTGGTGATTAATCTACTTGGTTTATTGGGAAAAATATAATCCATGATTACCTGGATAATCCCAAGTTTTGTGTCTTACCCTCTGGTTTTTGCTCATGTGGCAATAGAAAATCCAGAATCTAGATCGATTATTTTCCATTAAAGCCTCCAATTAAGTGCGGGGATTATAATTGATTTTCCCATGATTTTCCAAGATTTCCCCATGATTTTGCCATTTTTGCGCGGGGATTCCTCAATCGCTGAGGAACATATGGCCCGTGGTATGAAGTTTCGCGGCAGTGCAGCTGGATGAAAGTTGGGTCAGTTTGGTAAGGCAAATTTGCGGAAAATCTATTACCCTCTACTAATTTAACATATATAGCTATTGAAAATGGCAATTTATAGTGAGTTTTCCCAGTAAAAATTGTGATTTTCCATAGTTATGTAAACGTTTACCAGAGGGTATACATATGGAGGTTTCCTAAAATGAGGGCACCCCTGAATCATCCATTTTAGATTGGGATTTTCCATGAAATAAAAACCATCCAATGCTCGCTTGGGGACCCCCCATGACTATGGAAGCCCCAAAAAAAGGGAGTTTTAATGGGAAAAAAACATTTGCAAATGTGGGATTTGCAAATTTTTGTGTTTCTCAATGGGATCTCAATGGTCGAAACGAAGTTTTTCGGGGGTTGTAAAAACGATGTGCATCCCAGTTGAGTGGCCTTGGGAAGTATACCCCAGGTCAGTGGGTTATAACTTGTAAGCCACTAAGTGGGATGCACCCCCATGGGGGATGCACCAGTGCAAACCATCAGAATGAGATATACAACCATGGTGTTCCCTTAAAATGCAGCCAGCGATATTCCGTAGCGTATATTTTCACGACCCCCATGAAAGCTGCGTTCACAATGGGATTTGCACAATCAAATGATGTTAAACGTATGCCAAAACACATGTTTTTGACGATGGTGCAACTTGCGTTCTCATGGGGTTGTACCATTTTCAGAATTTCCCATGTCACACTTTTATCAAAAAATCGTCTGCATTCCAATAGCGGAAATTGCTGGTGTGACTTTTTTCACCTGTTGGTGTGTGGAGTTCCATGGGGAGAGCAATCCCCCATACAAACTTTGTGTGACTTCCGCGGTTTCCAGTAACCACTACAGCTGTTACTATACAATATATATATACACCACCAATAAGATGGGACATTGTGGGGTACAGCATGGCTCAAGTATCAAACATGGGGAACGACTGCCCAAATGATTTTTGCATGAAACCCAAACTTATGGCCATATCATATCCATCAGGGAAATCATCTTCCAAATCCAGTTGATTTGGGGTTCAATGTACCCATTTGGGGTTCCTGTACCCAGAAAAACCACTCTTGGATGGTTTCAGCCATAGATGGGGTGCGTCAATAGAGAGTCCACGTCCGCAACGGTTCGTCCGGAAATGGGCTACACCCGGATTGCTGGCAACATGGAAAAGTGATGATTCCATCCTTTCGAATTGGGGGTACCTTTTTTTTGGCCTTACAGGCATTTAGGAACAACTACAAAATGTAATTTGCGACAGCAGCTCACATCTCGTTGAGTCAACAGACCTCCGATCTGGTTTCCAACTAGAGCAGATCAGACATTGGTGGGATTAAGATGGACAAGGTGGATGCCTAAAGCTACCTGACGTCGTATCCCAAAGGAAGACAGATACGCCTCAAAGAAGGGGAGTTGGCGACGGTGCACGGTGGGGATTTTTCACCTTACAGTAGGTTACTGTACTACACACAGCATATACCTGTATACATGCATGTAGAACATAAGTTTCAACTACACAGGATGGTGAATACAAAAAACAAGAGGAGCGGCGGACCTCTGTGCTAAAAAATCTGAGATCAAATGCCCTTTTCCAAATTCTCCGAGTTACATATTCATGTGACAAGCCGGGAAACCTTACAAACATTTTGCTTTGAAGTTGTTTCCTTCCGAACGCCAGACTTGGACCTCTTTATTTCACAAGTTCGTCGTGACCAGCCAGTCACTGGGGTGTTTCCACAGTCGCTGAGGAATGGGACGATGGCGTGCAAATGGTGGAATTGAGGCCAGGGCCTTCCAGTGAAGTCTTTGGTGCTTGAGCAAAAAGGACCGTGCAGCATGGCCTGGTTTTGGGCAGCTGCTAAACACCTGCGTAAGATGAGTATAGGGGGCTGATACTGCCCTTTGTATCTTGGGGATTACCATAATCCATGATCCGAATCCTGTTCTTAACCAGCCAGTATACTGTAGTGACAGAGGGTCGCACGTTTTTTGGTGCTCCAGCTGCTCGGAACCCCGTTCGGAAAGGTCCGTTTGGAAGCCTCAAAAATCTCATGCAATCGCCATGGCAAGCCTGCCTGGATCCCCAAAAACGATGTCCCCTGCGCCGGCGATGTGCCGTGTTTCTGATCTTTGTGATATGCGGTGGTAGGACTTTCTCGCATGCGACCGGAAGATCGGGAAGTGTAGCGGAGAATGGTTGGAGAATTCATTCTGGTCGCAAGATTCCCTGGAATTTGTTCAGCCCGAAGGCAGGGTCAACCGGGGTTGCAGAGAGTCAAAAAACAAAAAATTGTGTTTTTGCCATCATCAAAATCGGTAGTCAGAGCTTAACCAACAAGTTTGCACTTCGCCGAAGAGTTTGCTTTCCATCCATTCTTGTTGGATTTCCACAAGGATCCATGGTGTTTTTGACGCAGAATGATTTGGTAACGGTACCGATAAACTTCTGCCATAGCCATCCTCCAATATCTTTGCCTCATTGTTTCTTGATAGCCAACTGTCAATTTTATCTGCAATTTGCATTGACCTCTAGTTTTCATCAATTCTGACTATGATTTTCTAGATGTTTCTTGATTTTCACCAAATTTTTATGAACTTATGGCCCCATTGCGGTTGTTTTTGTCAGAAGACATTGTCGAGGATGTGGCCAGTGGTTGAGCAAAATCCCATCCCCCTTTTTTTAGGCAGCCCCAAGAAAACATGGTTTGATATGCTTTATATTAATGTGTACAGTAATAGGGGATCAAACCACATAGTTGGGACCAATGAGGTGTAATCAACATGAACGGAGAGTGGATTGATCACCCATCATAATCCCATTCTCGTCTCACTATTGTCTAATAACTAGAATGTTCTACATTATATTAAGAAATATGCACTCGTTATGTGTCATATTGTACATTTTAAGTTTTATCGTATATTACACAATACTTTCTATAACATTCATATACTTTATTATATCAATATATATATATTCATTATATCACTTTCTATTACATAATACTTTCTATAACATTTCATATTCATATATTTATAGAGTTGCATGGGATCGCGCACCGCCAAGTGATGGCCCCGAACACCGCAGGTTCCGTTTCTCGCCACGCTGGTTCCAAATCACCAAGCAGCGCCGCACAACGGGACGCACATCACGCTGAGTCATCATGGGAAGGTGCCGTGCCGCGGGATGGATCATGAATTCTTGGGGATATCACTGAGCATATATCTCTTTCAGATAGCTGATGCATACATTGCATTGCATTGCACTACATTACATTACGTTAACTTACGTGACGTTACATTACATACATTACATACATTACATCACCTCACATTAGATTACATTAGATTGCATTAGATTACATTAGATTACATTATATTAGATTACATTACATTACATTGCATTGCATTAGTACATACATACATACATACATACATACATACATACATACATACATACAAACAAACATACATACATACATACATACATACACACATGCATACATGCATACATGCATACATGCATACATGCATACATGCATACATGCATACATGCATACATGCATACATGCATACATGCATACATGCATGCATGCATGCACATGCATGCACATGCATGCACATGCATGCACATGCATGCACATGCATGCACATGCATGCATGCATGCATGCATGCATACATACATACATACATGCATACATGCATACATGCATACATGCATACATGCATACATGCATACATTCATACATGCATACTTTACTTTACTTTACATTACATTCCATTACATTACATTACATTACATTTACATTACATTTACATTGCATTTACATTACATTTACATTACATTTATATTACATTCATATTGCATTTACATTTCATTTACATTACATTTACATTACATTTACAGTACATTTACATTACATTTACATTACATTTACATTACATTTACATTACATTTACACTACATTTACATTACATTTACATTTACATTACATTTACATTACATTTACATTACATTTACATTACATTTACATTACATTTACATTACATTTACATTACATTTACATTACATTTACATTACATTTACATTTACATTACATTTACATTACATTTACATTACATTTACATTACATTTACATTTACATTACATTTACATTACATTTACATTTACATTACATTTACATTACATTTACATTTACATTACATTGACATTACATTTACATCACATTTACATTACATTTACATTAGATTACATTTACATTAGATTAACATTACATTTACATTACATTTACATTTACATTGCATTTACATTACATTACATTACATTAATACATACATACACTACATTTACATTTACATTTACATTAACATTACATTATATTACATACGTACGTACGTACATACATACATTACACCACATTACGTTACGTTACGTTACGTTACATTACGTTACATTACATTACATTACATTAATACATACATACATTACATTAGATTACATTAGATTACATTAGATTACATTAGATTACATTAGATTACATTTACATTACATTTACATTACATTTACATTACATTTACATTACATTTACATTGCATTTACATTACATTTACATTACATTTATATTACATTTACATTACATTTAGATTGCATTACACTACAATACATTTACATTACATTACATTACATTACATTACACACATTACATTAGATTACATTTACATTTACATTTATATTTACATTTACATTACATTGCATTACATCTACATTTACATTTATATTTACATTTATATTTACATTTATATTTACATTTACATTACATTATGTTATATTACATACATACATACCTACATACATACATACGTACGTACATACATACATACCTACATACATACGTATAGGTATAGGTATACGTAGAGGTATAGGTATATGTATACGTACATGTACATGTACATGTATATGTATATGTGTATGTATATGTGTATGTATATGTATATCTATATGTAACATACATACATACATACATACATACATACATACATACATACATACATACATACATACATACATACATACATACATACATACATACATACATATATACATATATACATATATACATATATGTATATGTATATGCATATGTACATGTACATGTACATGTATATGTATATGTATATGTATATGTCTAGGTATATATTTTGGTATATGATTTGATAAATGTAATCAATCAAGATTGGTATATGTGACAGTAGATATATTAATCAACAGATACTGTAAGTGTTGATTGAAACCAGCAACAAGGGAATATCAGCCAGACATGATTTTTCTTGATCGGAAACAGCCGGAATCACAGTTATCATTTACACCCCCAGTTTTGTTTGTTGGTTTATCATCTCCATAAAATATTGGAGTTATCAACCAACTTAGCAAATTGTGGAGCGCCACCTGGTAGTATTTCGTTTTCACTGTGGAAAATTTGTAAGCAACATCGCCACGTTCCCTTCGCCGCTCAAGTATGGTGCATGACTGATGATTGGTCTTGTTTAGGGGCAATCATTGGATTGATGATTCATGAAAGTCGATTCGAAACGCTGATTCGCTCCATTTCCATCAACTAATGGATTGGATTGGTAGGGAAACTTGAACCCCCCTTGGCCCTTACCAGATTGATGGGGAATTTTGCATTGTTTCCGGTGAAGAGTTCCCCTTCAAGGCTCCGCCTGAAACCCATCGAGGTCCCCTTCCTGGAGGGCCAGTCGATTGGTGTCATGGAAGGCGAGGGGAGTGCTGGTGCTTGGCATGGCACGCACTGACCATAGTGTGATAAATAAGTAGATAAGTGTACATATATATATATATATCTATATATGTATAGATATCATATCATATGCATCACTGGAAACATACAAACGTGCAACCTTTGAAAGCAGCCATGACGGCAGTCTCAAATCTCACCCAGCGAGCTGTGGAATTCAGACACTCGTGGAAGAATTTGACCATTCAGAACAAGGAGAATGACAAGTACTTGGTTTGGGTGGCTCTAGATCACCTATATGGAGTTGGAACCGTGTACATCAACAGAGACGAGCTACAGGAGAAAGAGTTCGAGAAGGCATTCCGTGAAGCTTATGAAGCCATCCTGTCCCGGAAGGCAGTGGGCAACAAGGGCGCTGGAAAAGAACGAAGTGAAAAAGGCATCTCTACAGATGATTTTCTCAAAGCAGTGGGATTGTCAGGAGACGGCAAAGGAAGCTACTTGAAGGGCGGCATCCTGGCCATCAAAGCTAGATCACCATTCATGTTCGAGATCAAAGGGATTGCTCCTGACCAATTTGGTCACAAGTACGAAGCTCACCTGACGCTACTGGCCGACCGAATTTTGCATCCAAACGTGATGCTGTAGGAACTTCGCCTTGCAGTGCTGCCTAGTAATATTTGGGGACCTTATAGACCTTCAAGGGAGCAGGGCCAAAATGATTATAATATTAATATACCCCAAAATGGAAAACCCAATGAAGATAAGATTCATCACCGAAACAATCGTCACCGAAAAAATCGTCACCGAAAAAATCATCACCGAAAAAGACCATCAGATGATTCACATAGACTACAGAATAAATTTGAACCAGAACTCAAAATCCCAGGAGTATAGCTCGAGACCAGCATTCTCCTCAGATATCGCAACACACACTTTGCGGCCCCACCTCCCCACCGGTATGGCGGGATGAGTGCCCTGCTCACAGGTGCGCGAACAAAGTGGGCCCAGAACCCTCTCACAAATATAGATCACACCGAGGAATTCGCTCGGCGACGCAAATTTTAGCTCGCAAAGCTCAACGAAAAGAAAACCGTAGGCGTATCCGACGTGAATACAGACAAGTGAGAAAACGCTGGGTGGAATTGGCCAAAACCCCGGCGAAACCCACTTTGGCTCAAGAAAGAATCCTAGCTGAAGAATTGTATAGCCAGCCCCAACCAAACACTGATAGGTCTGATTACAAACACCCACCGTGCAATAACCTCAAGATTGTACATACAGACCTACGCATTGCCACGTTCAACCTGAAAGGCATGAATTATATAGCCGCTAGACAACAAATTGTATACCTTATGCAAAAGCACAACATTCATGTGGCAGCCTTACAAGAGACACATAAATTATACGGGAAAAGAACAACACGGAGACTACAATTTCTATTTTTCAAGCAATATAGATGACGAACAACGAAAGGAAACTGACATACAACTTGAAGCACTAAACCAAAGACTACGGAAAAAACAAATAACTGAAGTAGAGGCAAAAAGGGAGAGAATGACCATTATCAACAGGAGCACTGAAAAATTAGGGGTAGGATTTCTATATAAGAATTTTTTTTTCGACAGCGCTGAGATTGACATCAAATCCCTCAATAACCGGGTCATGTCCATGAAGATACACTCAACCCCAATACCAATCAATATAATAAATCTTTATGCTCCTCACGCGGGACACTCTGCGCAAACAAAAATGGAGTTCTACAATTTGGCGCACCAATTAACGCAAGAAATCCCTTCGCACTCTATTAAAATTATTGTGGGAGATTTTAATGCTCGACTGATAGAGGCTTTACCGCATGAACAGCACTTGATTGGCGCTCATGTATACTGTGCGGAAAACAACTCCATTCATGATCTAACTAATGAGCAAATAGACAACCGTCACAATTTCATAAATTTTTGTCTTGAAAACAACTTGGTGCCTATGAATACCTGGTTTCAAAAGCCGAAACCTAAATTAGCTACATATCGAAATGCCACCGCCCCTGTTTTCGACCTTGAACAGATCGATTCAACAAAATTTGCACAAATAGATTATGTACTGATAAATTCAGCTTGGAGAAACGCAGTCACGAATGTTGAAAACGTACACCACACCATAATTAACTCAGATCACGCATTGCTAATTGCAACATTAAAAGTTAAGCTGGCGACCAAAAAGAGATTTAAAATACCAACCAATATCAAATATAGAGAGCCGACATCAGCGCAAATCGAAGCATATAATGAATCCTTTAGGCAAATAATTGAAAAGCAGAAGCTCGACGGATCCTGGCACACACAAGACAAGGGAGATATCATCGCGCGCGCAGTCACACAAGCCGCCAAGCAACATTTCACAAGGGTTCCCATAACTCAAAAGAAAGATTATCTATCGGACCGTACCTGGCAACTAATTCTTCAAAAAGAAAAGGCGATTGAAGATGGCAACTTATATCTGTTACCTCAACTAAATAAAGACTTAAAACGATACGCGAGACAAGACAGAGAAACTGCAACAATAAGACAGCTGGAAGAAGCAGATGCACAAGGTTATAAATGGGAAGGATTAAAGGCAGCGCGTAAAACGTTTCAACCTCGACGTACTAAATTCAAAAACAAACATGGACAAATCATCAAAGAATCCGATTTTGCTGAGGAAACTGCTACGTATTTGGAAACAGTACAATGGGCAACGCCCGCAGATGATGACATTAACCTATCATACGAAGACCAATATATTTGTTTTGGAGAGACATGTATGACGGATGAAAATTTTACTAAGGCAGAATTAGACCATGTCCTTAAAACGCAAAAACACGGCAAAACACCTGGGCCAGACAATTGCCCAGCCGAATTCTTTCAATGGCTCAACCACGGAAACAGACATATTCTGCTTGAATGTTTTAATGACATTCTAGACAGGGACATATACCCTGAAAGCTTTAAATTGGCAAACATTGTCTCGATTTACAAAAAGGGAGATGCAACACAGATGAAAAATTACAGACCTATAGCACTCCTACAAACACTGTACAAAATTCTTGCAGGACTTATCAAAAACCGCCTTTTACAAGCATATGATCCATGGATACAAAGAAGTCAATTCGGTTTCAGACCAAAGAAATCCACAGCTCAGGCCATCTTTCTTGCCCGACGCCTGATGGACATCTCAGAACGTACAGGGTCAAATCTATCTTTGGTTCTATTGGATTGGAAAATGGCTTTTGATAAAGTAAATCAATCAAAACTTCTACAAGCTCTTCGTAGATTAAAGGTACCGCCCAGGATGCTTAAAACCATTGAACATATCTATTCTTCTCCTAAATTCAGAGTCGCAACCGGCGGACACAGTTCTAATTACAGAACACAACGTTCAGGAATTAGACAAGGTTGTCCTTTATCACCCTACCTCTTCGTTATCCTAATGTCAACCCTTTTCCATGATATCAAACAAAGACTGACCACACCAAAGCAAAAAGAACCTCTAAGTGGTATTGAATATACTGAAATATTGTATGCGGATGACACACTTATCTTTGGGAATTATACTCACCATATCAACCTGCTGCTAAAGGAAATGCAGCTAGAATCAAAATATTACAATATGGAATTGAACTTAGACAAATGCGTAAACCTCACACTAAATCAAAAACAATCATCCATCAAATACTTGGACGGCACACCGGTCCCGAGAAAAAGGTCAGCCTTCTATTTAGGTACATTGCTCACTGACACCGTGGACAACCACAGAGAGATTATGAACCGGATTGCTGATTGTACCCGTACATGTAATCAACTCAAATTATTTTGGAACAAAGCGAAGACATCCATCAAATGGAAAGTTCAAGTTTTTCATTCTATCCTCAGAGGTAAGCTGTTATACGGATTAGAAACCATACAGTTAAATTTGACAGATCAGAAAAGAATAGATAGTTTTCAGTTGAAGGGATATCGAAGGATCCTACATTTACCCCCCACATATATCGACCGCACAATAACAAATGATTTTGTCAAATCTCAAATTAGAAACCACATGAACACAGACCTAAGAATGTTCTCATCCATTTGGCAACAACGCAAACTTTCCCTTCTTGGTCATATTATCAGATCTGCGCCTAGTGACCCTATGAGACAAGTTCTGTTTGAAAAAGGAACTTTAATTCCAAGATTGGAATTTCGTAAGCGGCCCGGAAAACCTCGACAACAATGGTTAACAACAACATATGATGATGCTTATCAAACTCTGAACCAGCCACACCCATTTGACATAGATAATCCTGCGCATAGACAGCTAGTCAACGACCTAGCTTGCCAGAGAATTGGAGTCTTCTCGTGATCCATCACCGAAAATCGTCACCGAAATCATCACCGAAAATTGTGGCAAATCGTCACCGAAAATCGTCACCGAAAATCATCACCGAAAGCAAAGGGCTTTCTCCCTGCCCTGCCAATATCACAGTGGGTATTGGGATTACTTTTGTCTCACCCTTGACATCTTTGAGTTGTTTCTAATTTCATGTTTGTCTCCTACACCAACGTTTTTGACATGGCACTGCAAGGTAGAGATCAGTTTCACCCCCCTGGCACAGTATTTATGCATGATTACGTTGGATTCTGCGCTCAGCCTGTCTGGCCTGCGCTTGGCAAAAAAATAATATATATATGTAAAAAAACCTGTGCAGATAGACAATGAACTTGCAAACTTGACTTCACCGCATTGCATTGCACCTCCGAAGTTCATATGAATGAAGGAAGTCTCCGTTCGGTGCTGCATCAAGTGATGTGCAAACCAGATCCATATATGGGGGGATTTGAGCCAGGAATTGGTGAACAAAAGGACTCCTATATTCATTGGATGGGTTTAAGGGAAAATCATCACCGGAAACCATAGTTTTGACCATTAGATATGGGGGTTTCTGGTTAAAACTTTCCCTTAAACAAATCCAATGAAATATAGAAAACCTGCATGTTCCCAAGAGGCAAATTGCAGATTTGCCAGGCGGTGGCCTGCGGCTCTATCCCATATCTTCGTCCCGGATGGGAGACGATCAACGCTCCAAAACTCTGTCGCTCTATGTGGAGAGCCAAGGCAGGCTGCGGATTACGTTTGAAGATATACGAAGACACATACAGGATGGTGCCCTTCAGTAATGTGAATGTTGGTTTATAAACTGAATACTAGTTCGTTATATCTACCATAAACCATAGGTAAACCACTTATAAGTTAACTCAGCTATCTTGGGGGCCCATCGGCCCGTATGGCTTGAGTTGGTACTGGCGGCCATTTCGAAGTGGCCTCCGGTTTTCAACGGCAATATTGTCCATTCTGGCTGTTACCCTCTGGTAAACTAACATAACTATAGAAAATCACCATTTTTAATGGGAAAATCTACTATAAATGGCAATTTTCAATAGCTTTTTGTTGGTTTACCAGAGAGTAAATCTTGATGGTGGGATCATTAACATCAGCAGATGTGCCCCCCCCCCAGACCTGGTGGTAAACAGATTTTCATGAGCCATGGCAGCCAGGGGTTTCTTCCATCGGGGAAAGCCGACGCCCGCCAGGTGCCGGCTTCAGCAATTTGAAGGTTGGTGACAAGCTGAACATCACAGGTCCATTGGGTACCGAGATGTTACTCCCTTCAGATCTTCAGGACGCGATTCCTGGCTGTGTCGATGTTTTGTTTTTCCCAATCCCTTGGTTCATCCACTCGAAATCGGGAATCGATGTTTTTTTTTTGCCCCTAACGCAAAATCTCCCAGGAATCTGATTTTCGTGGCCACGGAACATGGCGTGGCACCGTTTCGCGGACAGCTTCGGTGGTTGTTTCACGACTCCGTTGGGAAGGGAGAGTTCAAAGGTTTGGCTTGGCTCTTTGTGGGCGGCATATTATTGCCGTATGACGAGGAGGGGCTGAACGACGAAATTGGATGAAATCGGATAGTCTGGTAAAGCCAATGCAATCAACCTACCATGACTGGGGATGGTTTATACGTGTTTATACAAGCCATTTATATCCATTTATAGCATGATAGGTATAGAGAGACAACCAGTCAGAACTTTCGAGCACTTGACAGGAGTTCCGAGCACTTGAACGAAGTGTTCGCCCCGAGCACTTTCGCTACCTTGGCATCAGAGCACAGTCCGACGAAGCAATGACCGCCGTCCAAAGGCAGATGAAGGACCACTCTGATGAACTCTGGAAGCTGCTGCAGTCGCAGAATAGCCATTTGTATATCAGCGGGAAAGGTCTGGAAGAAGCCACCAGTGACTGGTTGATGATTTCAACATACATAGAATTTATACTGATGGTGTATATATATAATTATATATATATATATATATCATCATATATCTTTTATCCTCTGGGAAAATGTCATAATTACAGTTGATTTCGATGTTTTTCTGGGAGGTGTTGAGACAACTCAGGTGAGTTCTTTCAAGAAGTTGCTTCGGCGCAGCAACAAAATTGGATCCAACTGCGCCGCATGATGCGGCAGCAGGGGCGCTACCACTGTGGCTGGTGACCTATGGTGAAACTGTCGCTGTCTGCCGACAAAAGAGTGGATCAATGGATAGCCTCTAGAAATCAAAGATGGAAATGGAACAGTACCCGAACTCAGAGTTCAGAGATGATTGTCCTATGACTTTTCCATGTATATTTTCCATGATTTTCCGATATTTTCCTATATGTTCCTCTTACGTATGGTGTTTTCCCATGGCTTTTCCGGTGCATCTTCCTGCCATTTCTTCTGACAGCTTTGCGAATCTTTGGCGAATCGGCCGTTGCCACAAACTCATCGCTGCCGTGAAGACTCAAGAGGATGCAGACAGTGTACCAGAACCCACGATGGGCAGACTGTCTGCTATCATGGAGGACACTTGATTCACAGAGTTTATGAAGAAGTTGTAGAGCTGCTTTCGATTCTTAAAAAGTGCTAGTGATGTTGGCAAATCAGCAAGCTGTGAGACATGTTTAACGGCAACGTGATTTGGAGTGTGATAAATTGAACATCAACAAGTTGGGAAATTCCCAGCACTGAGTTAGTTGTTTCCAATGAATGTCGATACATTCTTCAGAAACCTTCCAGCTGACGAGTCTGCGACTCAGTTCCGGTGTAGATATGATGATGATGATGATGATGATGATGATGATGATGATGAAGAAACAGAAGAAAAATAAGAGAACACCAAAATAAGCTGACGATGATCGGGACGCCGATAGCACCCCATTGCACTGGGAATGAAGGGAACATCTCTATGAAACCCAGCAGTCCTAGGACCAAGAAGTCTTCCTACTTGGATCTTTTCTATATGGGTCCTGAAAGAGTACCCTCTGGTAATGACTAACATATGGAAAATCACAATTTTTCATGGGAAAATTCACTATTTCTATGGTGAATTTCCATAGTTATGTTAGTCATTACCAGAGGGTATCTGATATTCATATTTGCTATGTATGTTACATTCCCATTTCAGGATGGTGAAACCGTGTGAAAGCCTCGATTTTTGCTGCTTATCCCCCTGTTTTCTGCTGGTTTCTGCTGGTCAACTCCCAATTTTTTCGTGGCTTTTTTCAGCGCCCCGGTGACATTTGCTGCCATTTGTCCGGTGTGGTGATCTTCCACATCTGAGGTTCCAGATTTTTGAGACCGAACTACGAGAAGTTCGATCCTAAGCCATCCTTGGCGATGATTATGATTCTTAAGAAAGGGATTAAGCAGTGATGATAAGGAATCACTCTGTGAAAATATGAACATCATTTTTTTCTTCCAAAAGGTTGATAATTTGATCATAATTTGATCATAATTGTGATTGTTGATAAATAACTGATGGACAATAATGATTATGATTGATCACATGGTTTATCAACAATCACAATCATCACAATCATAATTATGATAATAGTCATAACAATCAATATTGATAATAATCATCATTATCTCTGGTTTCACGTGGCGGGCTCGGCCTGTTGCCTGTTTCTCCTCGAGGCTCTGATTCACGTCGCCGCCAAAGCGAAGGACTTGGGACTGCCAGGTGGTCGTTTCCCGTAGGACAGCCCAGTGGATCGGTGAAGCAAGACAGTTAATGACAGTTATGGTATTTTTTTACAGGATTTGGGATAAATATCCAGGATGATCATGGGATATATAGTCATATTATGTCATAGTTACATAGTTTTTGTTTTGTGTTTCATCGGTTTCTATGGTGATTGAGCTAAGACAGCAAAAACTGTCCTGCAAGCCAATCGTTGAGCCTCGGTATAAATCAAGGTAGCTAAGTATGGGGCACCATTGAGGGTATATAGTATATAACCCACAAAGACGCAGAACAGGTTGATTTTTTTCCATTCAATTTTGGAATTGGATTTTATCAACGTCAAGCTTTGTGGGATTGCGATTTCATGTATCTCAAAAACCATCTATTTGATATGATAGAACAATACAATGGGACGAAATATAGTGGGTTGTAAGTGGGTTGTAATATAGCGGTTGCTACTTGAAACCGCAAGCCAGTTGTAGATAGATTGTATACCGATCATTTCCCATTTTTTTGTTGGTCGATTCGCAACAGGCGCCAACTATTACTGGCTATTTCCTCCCCAAATTGCTGGTGGACATTCCATTTTGGGTACTTCATATCCCATCTTCAATAATTTGGTTTTGGTGAATACCGCTGAACTATACCAACTGTATCCCAGCCTTATCGGTGTCACCTATATATTTGATATACGTATACATATATATATATACGTATATATGCATATATATATACGTATATATATATATATATGCATATATATATATATGCATATATACGTAGACACTTTGTTTATTTCCAATGTTTTCCATGCTTGGTTCCTTATTTTGTTGAAATCGTGACCCAATGGTTGTGATTTAACCGTTTTCTTGAGTTAATTCCCAATTTTGTTGCTGATTAACCATGAATATACTTTTGAATATACCCATTATATCCCATCTTGGCTGGTTAGTTGTCCAGTTTTTGATTGAACAAATCCCCATTGTAGTTGGTTATAAAATCGTTGGTTCTATAACCAGAACATATGGCGACTATTTTTTTGATGCTTCTATAACCAGCTCATTGAATCTGTTACTTATATATATACACACCATTTGTAGTGGTTATCCAAACAAGTGTTATCTCGAATTTTTGTAAGTTAATTCCCCAGTTATCCCCAATTATTGTGAGTGAATTCCACATCTATCTCCAATTCTCGTTGGTAAATCCCCCATTGATGCTTAATTCATGGTTAATTCCTGGTTTGTTGATGTTAATCCATGTTCACTTCCCATTTTTACAGATTCATCACCTTGTTTTTTCCCGTTCAATTCCCCATTTGTTGACGGAAAAAACGCGTGTTTTTCATGGCTAATTCCTGATGTGTTGATGAAGTCCCAGTAAAAAACCATAGGTTTTCAGCAGCCCCCTGCCTAGAGGCGTCCCCCAACAACCAATAAGTAGATCCTTAACAAACAAACCGGCCCCGGAGCATTTTTCCTTTGTGAGGACACTAGTTGTCATCTTTTTGCATGTTTGATCCAAGTGTTGGTAAAATCACCAGTTTTCCTGGTTGAATTAGCAGTTTTTATGGGTAAACTGCCATTTTTTCATGGTTGAATCATGTCAAATCCCAGTTTTTCATAGTTAAATCCCAATTTTTCATGGTGAAATGCCAATTTTTCACCATTTCCGATGGTAAAATCAGCACTTTTTTAAGCACGGATGACCCGTCCCCAGGCTGCATGCCTGGATCGAGCGTCGCCTGGGTGAAGAGATCGCCGCGCAAAGCGACTCCCGGGGCTATCGCCAGGGAAACCCAGCTGGAAAGCCTGGTGATCTTGGTGACTTACTGGTGCGTTTTACGTAGGGTTGCTGGATGGGTTGCTGGGGGTTGCCGGGATGATGAAATTACTAGTGATGAAATGGATCATTCCCGAAAATTCCCTGCGTTTAGCACCTGATATTGGTGAAGATTGGTCAAAAAATAGGGTATATTGATGGATATGAACTGGCATATCCTGTCCTTCCATCGTGCTATCATTTTCTGAAAATGCTGTCCGATTCTCGTATCAAATACCTAGGTCACATCCTCCGTCACCCCGACTCGGAAGAATCTATTTTCATGTTCAATCCCTTCAATTAAACTAAGTAACCAGCTAAGGGCGCGCGGCGCTGTGGACGTGTGGCTCAATATGAGCTGCATATCGCTTCTGAAAAAACATGTTTGATATTGCTTGATATTGGTGAATATTGATATTTGTGATTATATATAATGACATGCAGGTTTCTTAAAATGGGGGATCCCCAAAAACCCATAGGTTTCAATACAAAAAAAGGTTCTTTCATAACTTGGATGATTTGGGGGATCCCTATTTCAGGCAAGCTCCATATATTGGTGATATTGATATTGGTGATATTGGTGATACCAATATTAGGGATTATAGCTGTACTACGTGGGGGTTTCCATAGTCATGGGGGTACCCCAATCGCTGGATGGTTTATTTCATAGAAAATCCGAAGATAAGAATGGATGATTGGGGGGTACCAGCATTTTAGGAAACCTCCACATTGGTGATATTGACATTGAACACCATACATTTTCTGATTTTTTTTGACATGTCCTTTTTGGGAAGATGATATTTTCGGATGACTTTTCCGATGATTTTCTTGGTAGAACTTGAGAAAATGAGACAATCTTTAGTTTTGGAAGATGATTTGCGTAGTAATAGTAAAAAATCCTGATCAAAATGAAGCAGTTTCTGTGTCTGGAAGCGGATTTTCTTCGTCAAAATTGATATGATATAGAGGATATAGCATGATATAGCCATTTCATGCAATTTCTGGGGTCAAACATGGAAGCCACATACTCGGACTCTTTTATTGGATATTTGGCCTTGCATACAAGAATATCAACCCTGTTCATGTCAAGAGTTTCTCCACCTAAAAGTACTGTATATCTCAAAGCTATATATATACATATGTACATGTATATAATCTAAAACACCTGCATCATCTGAATGGTATCATCTCTGCTATTCTTCATGGGCTGTTACGCCTTGAAGCGTCTTGAAGCGCCTGGTTTTTTGGGGTCGATTTCCACGCTGGCGCTCAGTTGAAATTGCGTTGATGGCTTCCGGGTGGAGCGGAGGGACGCGAGTGGATGAGGTCCTCGTCTGGCGATTTTGGGTCAAAGATGGGGGGCGTTGAAGGCCATCACTGGATTGGTTGTGTTGGGAAGTGATGGAAACCGGTGTAACCTGGGTTTTCCCATGAAATTGAGGGGGTTTCCGGTGAAGAATGTCCGTTACACCAATCCAGTGAAGCCAGATGTTGACAAGTGTGGCTTTGGGGGTGAAGGTCTCGGAACTGATTTTTCTTTGCGGTTTCTCAAGTCATGAGGGACCCCCAGTCGTCACCATGGTTGTTTCAATACGAGTCGTCATGGTCGAATGGAATTTGGGGCGAATATCGCCCAATGACTTCGGACACCTGCAATTATATCCCATTATATCCTCACTCCCATGAATGTTGGTTTTTAAGTCCATAAATGTTACATGTTCCAGCATTTTTCAGCATTTTTCAGCATTTTCCAGCATTTGTCCAAGACCTTTTGAGACAGACCTTTTGAGCCATGGAAAATCTGGCAGCCAGGCCTTCTTCAATGGCCTGAAAGAGGATAGCTTTTCCAAGGACCAGCGGTGGGTCGAACTGGTATCAATGGATTCAATTGACCCAACAAAGAGATGGCTATGGATCAATACTCATGGTTAATAACCATTAAAACCGGGGCTAGTCATCCAATGATTCATAGGGATTTATAATAACCATTATTTTTGGATCCTTATTATGGATGAGATGACCATCAACCATATAGTGAGTATTGACCATGGCTCATATGATAACAAAGGTTTGTATAGATAAGAAACCTGCCAACCAATGGATAGTTTGGATACTAAGATGGTTTGAATAGTATGAAACAGATATGAAACGGATATGACACCATGCTACAATGGCGGATACTGAGATGTACTGAGTAGGAATTCTGACCCATCCCAGATATGCCCATGATGTTGGCTCGACATCCCATGCAACACGACATTTCGCCTTCTATAGGTCCCTTTATCTGGTTGGTTTTCTACCGCGATTTCTGTTGGTAACCAGCAATCCCAAAATGTAAAGATATGAAGCACCCATGAAAGCACCAAAAACACCGCGGATTTTGCCAACGCTGGGATGATGAATTTATGTACCTGTCGTAAAAATAGTTTATTACCAATCTGAGTACAGAAAACAAACCCCAGTGAACTAAGGTAATAAACTGTACTCAGATTGGTAATAAACTGTACTCAGATTGGTAGATACCCCAGTGATACCCAGTGAATCATACTATAGAACTTATAGTTCACTGATACTATCCCACCAATGAGTATCTAGCAGTCGATGTCGCCAAAAAAAACACCCTTTGGATGAGTTGCTGCGCCGGCTGCGCCCGTAGTGTTCACCCGGTGATTTGTTAAAACTCAATGATCCCGGCTATAGCATGGCCATAAAATGATGGTCTACTAAGCATTTTCAGACCCATATGGACATATTGGCCATGATGTGGGTAAAACAATAATAGACCACCCATTTGGGAATGGTTTACACCACCTATTTATGGTGATTTGGGGGATGGGTTATTATTGTTTTACCCACATGAATCTACCAATTGTAAGTTCTAAGCCCAGAGATTTTACTCGAACATTATTGATCCCAGGAAGAGGGAGCGCTGCAGGGATCCTCAGGGCATGATCGAATGGTAAGCTGGGCATGTTTTCTATGTACATCAGGAGTTTCAAATGAAAATACAGAGATAGAAATAGATGAAGTAGATGAAATACATAAACAGATAGATGAATCATACATGACTTTTGTCAATAGCTATGTTAAATTACCAGAGGGTAAATCCCATATCATCCCATTATTCACCATTGTTAACCCATTGTTAACCCATTAAATCACCATTAAACAACCATTTTATGTTTATTGTTAGCATCGCTCCTGATTTTCTTCCCAACAGCAGAGTTGGGGTTCAACCTCTGTGTCTGGGAGTGGTGCGTCCCTGGAACCTTGGAACCTGCTGTGTTTTTTGCTGAACATCCCAAGTGATGTTGGCTTATTTTCTTGGCGCGGGGGGGATGTTGATGAACATTCCAAGAGTTTAAAGAGTCAAAATCCTTATATTTGGGCCTCACACATCAAATCCTCATGTCTCAATTCAGTGAATATCCACACTTTTTGTTGCTTAAGCTTCCATTTTGCTGGTGAACATCCTCATTTTTAGACATCTCCATTTCTTGATAGATGGTTATCTTGTACTTTTGATGGTTAAACCCCTGTGTTTGGCCCTCACTGTGAACCATTATACCATTGTTCATGCTTTAGTTCCGCACATATTATATGGTATATATATATAGATATATACATGTAATCATACATACGCACACAGCTTAGGCACGGAAAATTCGGCACCCCCAGTTCCAATTCGGACGAGGCGCGAAGCGATCTTCGACTTCCTGGCCTCCTGGCAGTCTCCAAGTTTGGCCACCGCGGATGATCTGAGCCCCTTGGTCGTGTAGGTTTCGGCCCTGGGTTTGTTGGGGTAACGAAGGGGATTCATATCCATTATATATATAATATGTATATTAATATATTGGGTTTATAGATGTTTAATATCCATAATGCCATAATATATGTGGTTTGTAAATGTTGATGTCTATAGTGTTTAAATAGCCGTTCTCTTCCCATGACAAATGGGGATTTGAGTCGAAGATGTGGTACATTTCTTTCCATTGGCTAGTCCACCAGATCTGGAAAAATTGGATTTTTTTGTGTTTAATGGTCCCCTGAAGCAAAGCCAAGTTATGGTGGATGACCATATCTAGATATCGGATATGGTTTGCGGACTTGACATGATTTCATCCTGCAATTTCACCATCCCAGAAAAGAACAGGATTTCATGTGATGCGTACGCATCGCGGGGATCTTAGGTATATTTTAATCAACCAAAAGTGACTGGCATCAAAAACATCGGTCGGTTTATGATAGAAAATGGGAGAGAAAAACCATATTTGTGGGAATAGACATAGGGATTCTAACCAGTATGGTGATTGGCCTGTGGTGGATATATTGATTTTGGACAGGGACGGTTTAATAAAGCCCCACATTTTCATGGTGACCCAAGATGTTTGCCCATTTTGATAGGATGATCTCACAAATCGTAGCGGTTGCAAGTCCCCAGGGTCCCCAATTCGTGGGTTATCAGATCTATGGGTTTGTTCAAAGCCCACAAAAGCAAAGCAATTCGGAGATCCTGGGGTGAATTTTCTTCGGAAATTGTGGAATTGGGATGGGTCAAAGCTATTGTTATCATAGGGGGACGAAAACATGTATTAACCCAACTATTTTGTTGGGTAAGGTCCATTATTCTTGACTACCAAACGGAAAGCATCAATTTGCCCAGCTTGGCCCGTCTCCAGGTAAAGATGCCAATGTCAGCGCATGTGTCGAGGCATTTTTGCCGTCTTCAGCCTTTGCCCCAGGAGCAAAGCTCGATCGACTGTGTGTAGGGAGGGGTTTTGTTTCATGGCTCTCCAACTGTGGCTGTTGTAGCGCAGATTTTTTATGAAGATATTGAGGATTTGGGAAAAGCAATGATGAACAAAAGCCCTCCCAATCTCAACTGGCAAATCTCAAGCAATGATGTATATCTGGCTGTATCTCACTACATATTTGGCTGTATCTAGAAATGGGTTGTATAAACGACACCAGTTCGGAGGTTCACGGCATAGCTGTAACTGTGATGTTCATCCCGCAAAACCCATAGTTCTATGGAGATGCGACACACATTCAGCCATATCTACATGCATTTTTCCATGGCGTGTATATATTAAGATACATCTAATATAGAACATAGTACAGGTATTATATATATAATATATTATTATAGACTATAGTTACAGATATACATGATATATCAAGATTTGACCAGACTAAGTCTGGAAAAAGCCACAAATTTCTCCCGCGTTTCGTCAGTGTCCCAAGGTCCCTCTGGGGGATTGGATCGAACGACGCATTGGTGGAGAGATCGAGCTACAGGAGGCCGAAAAATCCACGACAGCCCCATGGGGGTAGCCCATGGGAAGGATCCAATTGATGGAGGTACCCTCTGGTAAACATACAAAAAGCTATTGAAAATGGCCATAGAAATAATGGATTTACCCAGCTATAGCGGTGATTTTCCATAGTTACGTTAGTTTACCAGAGGGTACTGGACTGTACCATATTTTGGGCCGTATTTTGTGGGGATATTCCTTGAAATTTAGCCATTGATATGGTGACAACCTGTGAAGAATTGGATGAAACACATGCCGAATTTCCGGAATTGCACTCGCACAAATGCTGTAGAACATTTATCAGCAAATGCAGGGATTTAAGCAGAACGAGTCCTGCCCGTGTTGGTGTGCACCAGTGTGTGCTGACAGCTCTTTTACCACCTGCTTCGCCGCACGTTGAAACTTGCCAAAATGTGGGGGAAGTACTCTGTTTGTGCAAATGCAATTGATCTTAGGCTAGCCCAGCATTTCTGTATTCACAAAACCCTGACAAAAAATGATCGTGAATGCAGATATGTCAATAGATGGGGCAGATGTTTGCTTCTGTTAGTGAAATTCAGCGGTTCCAACAAACGCTATCGTTTTGTTAGAAATGGGGACCTGAAAATGGGGCATACCCCACACATGGCTGTTTTCATGGGCTAAATGATGGAACACGATGGGTTTAAAATCATTGAATTGTGGCGGGTTTCCCAACATTTTTAGGTACCAATCCCATATGATGAAAGCGCATACTCAAGCCAATTAACCCACATATAACGCCCGTGTATGATGAATCTCTCTCTCTCTCTCTGTATATACCCTCAGGTAATCAAACATGGCAATTGGAAATCCTCCATTTAGTTCGATGATTTTCCCAGCGAACTAAACCTCCCATTTATAGAGGACTCTCCACTGCCACGTTTGAAAATTCCAACAGAAACCATTTATAGTGGATTCTCCATTTCAGTAGCTATGGTGAAAATCCAATTTTTTTGAAACCAGAGGGTATATATATAGACAGAATATGTATATAATAACATATATATATACACGTATACATCTCCATTCTGGTTGGTCAAATCGATGAATGACCTGGCAGGGTGTGGTGCAAGTGCTGCCAGATGCCAGGAAGATTGTGGCTCGGTGCTAGAGATCAATTTTTATCAACGGGAAACTTGAGATTGAACCGCACAACATAGGGAATTCAACAAAAAAAATGTAGATTGACAATTGATTTGGAATAGGTTTCTGTGGGGTTTGTAAGCACTACAATTTAGAATGGCTTTCTGCTGGATGTATCTACAATATCTTCCAATAATTTCTTGGCTCCCAGGATTCTGCGGCTCATCTCAGAGGATTAACACTGCTAGCCTTGGCGGATCATTCCACAGCCAGGTCTCAGACAAGTACCAAGCCTTACTGGCCCAGCGCAATACGCAGCAGGCCGGAGCTTCCGGTTTTATGGCTAAAAAAAGCAGCTCCGATGAGGTTTGGCAAGCTGGACTGAATTCTTTTCAGGATATTTTCCGTGTTTTTTGGGGCCAGCTTGATTTTCAAGGTGAATCTCGGCTTTTTCAGTCTTGAAATTTCATCCAGACTCCTCGATTCTTCATACAGAGCACTGGCTCTACACCGCAACTGGGGTCAATGGTACTGTACCATATAAGGCCATATTTTGTGGTGATATTCACTTACATTGGCCTTATATAGGCCTTATATATGGTAGGTACCTCCATTTTAGGATCCTGAAATTCCCATTGATGGGGTTACCCAATGACCCACTTACGTGGCCATGTTTGAGGTGACCAAGGCCAGGTTTTGTGTCAAGCAACTGGCCTTTTTTTAGACGGTTTGAATCTTCCAATGACAACGACATGACCAAAAATGAGATGGTTGATTTTTTGAAGATTCTTCGATAATAACCTAAAATTACTTAAATCTGATACAACCAAGTGAATTCCATCCCCTAGAGCCCTAGATATGAAATAGCCAGCAAATATGGACCCCCAAAATTGATAGATGTGGGTAAAACAATGTCATAAACCACCCATGACTGGGAATGGTTTTAATCCCACCTATGAACATGGTGATGACTGGGGGATGGTACAGATGACATTGTTTTACCCACATTTTATCACCATTTCGGATATTATCCCATTCAAATTGGTGATCTTATCCCATTAAAACACCATTAAATATCATAAAATCATATGAAATCCTCATTGTTGATGGTTTTACCCACATTAGATCCACTGCTAAGCTCGGGTTTTTCTAGGCCTTCCATATTACTTCCATACCTTCGAACCGACCCTTTTTGCCGGCCGATGCTGCCAGACGGCGACGACCGTGCCGGCAAGGCGTTTTTTCGGTTCTTGATGGACAGGTCGAACAGGTCAAACTTCATCTGGTTTAGGAACATGAGAATTTGATTGACCCAATAACCATGGTTATTAATAATGGTTATTAACAATGAACCATGGTTATTAACATGGTTAATGGTCATTGATTATGGTACTACCCTCTGGTAAACTAACATAGCTATTGAAAATGGCCATAGAAATAGTGGATTTTCCCATGAAAAGATGGTGGATCTTTCCAGTTCGCTATGTAAGAAATTACCAGAGGGTATGGCATGGTTATTAATAATGGTTATTGACCCAATAACCATGGTTAATCAACATTAATAGTGGTTATCCATATATGTAGAATTTGTATCCATATATGTAGAATTACGGCATTGTTTAAACCACATTATTGAAAATGGCCCATTTGCAGTTGATTTACCTACTAAAAGTGGTGATTTTCCACATATATATATATAATTATATATATATAATTATATATACAGACATAATTTATATATATCTATATATCTGGTTGGTGGTTTGGAACATGAATTTTATTTTCCCCAATAGTTGGGATGATGATCCAATCTGACGAACTCATATTTTTCAGAGGGGTAGGTCAACCACCAACCAGTCATGAAGTTACGTAGGTTTATCTTTTCCCCCAGACTTTTTTTTTTAATTTCATTGGCTGTTTGACTAAATGATGGTTCATTTTTGGTGAACAATGAATGAACCAACAGAATCAATTGATGGTCTACTCATTGGCTGTTTGACTAAATCAATGGTTAATGGAATAGATTAAAGTCAATGAACCAATTCACCCAATTCATCAGTTGATTCAGCCGATTGATGGACTATTCAATGGCTTATTTTTGTCATCCAACATGAATTTGATATATAATGATATATATATATTCAGCAACCAATTCATGGTCTCAATCATAGTTTCACCATTCATTGACAATTGATGATCTATTGATGATCTATTCAACTAATTGATGATCTATTCATAGATTCACTAACCAAATGATGATCTATTGATGACCTATTTCTGTTGGATTCTCTATCTCTTTGGCGACCACCGGCCGCCGAGCAGGTTTCCTCAACCACCGCTACAGGGCAAGGCAAGGTCCAAAAGGAGTTGGAGGATAGAGACAGTATCAAACGAATATGGTGATAGATAAGAAATTCTATGTTATAAATATATATATATATATCACATCCTGAGATATCCTATTGAGATAGAGAATTATCTGAAATACAATATATAATTCTATATATATATATCACATCTATACGATTCTATATATATATTATTGAGATAGAGATTTCCTGAAAGATCGGACATCCCCTTTTATTCATGGAGGTCGATTCATGGTAATTCAACCAAGAAATTAATGGGGATTTGAAAATTAAAAAAAAATAATGGGATCTAAACCCTTCGATGGGGAAAGGCCACAGTTTTCCAGGAAAAGTTGTCTAAGTACCTTGATATCTGGGTTTATCATGGTTTTTCCACAGCTGTGTGAAGTTACTGGAAGGCCAGCTGGCTTAGACCATTTCACCGGGGGGTTCTCAGTCACAGCAGGGCAAGGGCAAGCCTCCAGCGCCTCTACCTGCGGTGGAGAGTGGAAAGCTTGGAGGGCTTGAAGGGCTTGAAGGGCTTGAAGGGCTTGAAGGGCTTGAAGGGCTTGAAGGGATGCTTTCCCTTTCATCACCCTGTAACCATGTTTGATCCGCACCACAAGTATCCTAACTTGGCAATCTGTGAGCTCAACCCTTTGGGCCCAACGTGATTTTCGCCACCGCGCCGCTGAGATAAAGAACAGTGGCTCCAAGCTTTACCACAGAACGAGTTGACAGGTGGGTGGCATCGGCAGAACGAGTTTACCCACAGAATTCCACTGGATCCCTCTGGAAAATTGACGTATATAGACCCTGAACATCGGCCCTTGTTAGTGGAAACGAGCATCTTATAACCCACCTCAAAATCTGCCAGGGTCGTTATGTGAATTTACTGGAGGCTAATTCTCTTTTTTTCTTTTCCCCTTTTTGCATGTTGTATTACTGATTCGTGGTTTGGAACATTTTTTATTTTTCCATATATTGGGAATGTCATCATCCCAACTGACGAGCATATTTTTCAGAGGGGTGGCTCAACCACCAACCAGATATATATATAATATATATATATAATATATATATATAATATATATATAATATATATATATAATATAATAATATATAATATATATATAATACATAATATAATATAATATATATAATATAATATATATATATATAATATATATATATACATATAGTGAGATAATTAAACATGGCTAGCTGGGAAATCCCTGAAAAGTGGAAGTTGACCTGGTGCAGGTGAGGAGGTGAACCTACGCCAAGTCCTCCTCGACTGGCTGGATGCCTGGGCGCGAAGGCTGTGAGATGGCCGATGTTTTCTGGTTATTGATCGTTAAACAAAGTAATTAAAGGTATAATCATAAAAAAAACAATGATATCTATGTAATGATGTAATGTTTACATGAATACATGTATATATACATATATATATATACATACACACACTATCATATGTATAATTCCATATGTTTTTGCTATCTGCGTCTCGAGACATCTCGCCAGCGTTCTCATCTCGCAAGGCCCCAAGGGAAGGGGCCGAAGGGTGCACCGCTGCTGGGAGATGCGCGGGACCCAAGTTGCGAGGACGTCGTGTCATCCCATTTACTCCGGATGTATATAGATTGATTAGCTGATTATATGCATATATAATATGTATATATAAATAAATATGTATATATATGATATAGCTATTACTTATGTGCATAGTACAAACACACATAGATGTAGATGTATATATATATATACATATTCATATCTCCCTAATTGTTCTACATACACGATCCCATCTATTTGCTTTCAAAGCTGCGTCACTGCGTCACTGCGTCGCCAATTGTCTCCAAGGCCATGAACGATTCGCGTGTGACGCAGGGTCGCATGCGACTGCTGCCCCGCAATGTGTCCCTCAAGGTGCGTGGTGTCACGGGTGATGCGGATGGTGATGCGTTCCAGATCTCAAACCCTTTTTGGTTGAAGAAAGATGGGGCACTTCCCAAAAAAGGCCATGAATCATGGAGAATATGACAATTCACCCATGGATTTGATGGTACATACTCTCTATATATATATACAATATATGATATATATATATATATACATTATATTATATACAATATATGATATATATATAATATGATATATATATACAATATATATGATATATATTTAATATAATATAATATAATATAATATAATATATAATATAATATAATATAATATAATAATATAATATAATATAATATAATAATATAATATAAATATATTGTACAACTAGTTTTGGACAGGACCATATGTCTGGCTTGGATATACTTAGATCCCATCCCCGTCATATCATTGGTCCTGGCTTCAGCGGAGGAATGGATCGAAGCGCGTATTGGCGGAGAGTTGGAACTACGAGAAAACCAGTGGAGCAGCTCAGACCATGGTGACACTTTTGGACCTTTACTGTTGATGAGTTAATGTGACATTTTGGTTTTGGATCTTTTGGACCTTTTTCAGTTTCGAAAATCTTCCTCCCAAAGTTTTCGGGGGTTTAGGACGTCATGATCTTTTCAGGACAGATTTTATCCCATTTTATCCCATTTTATCCCATTTTATCCCATTTTATCCCATTTTATCCCATTTTATCCCATTTTACCCTCTGGTAATTTAACATAACTATTGAAAATGGTGATTTATCGTGGATTTACCCATTAAAAATAGTGATTTTCCGTAGCTATGTAACAAATTACCAGAGGGTATCCCATTAAAGCCCTAAAAAAAACCCATCCAGATGAAGCTACTGTAGTTGACTGTCACAGAGCTGAGGCGGGGACAGGTCGAGGTGGTTCGCTCAGGTGGTCGGGCTCCTGGATCTGGCGTCGCTGCTCTGGGTATAGCTGTATTAGAAAATTCTATGTATATAAGCAGTCAACATAGATGATGACTAGATATATACACACATACACATACATATACGTGTACATATATATATATATGTATATATATATACACATACATAACCTTAACTTGAGATCATTGGGTGCAGAAAATCCAGGGAAGCAACGTTGGCTCAGGTGAGGCTAATCAGGATCCCAACGGCATTCTGGACTCGTTGCCCGAAGATGCGCTGAACGAGCAGGTGGATTGGCAAACCTGACCGCCTGACCGGCTGCGAAGAGGGAAAGGTGGAGAACAATAGGCAAGACAGACATATGTCCCGTATGGTAATATGATCAATGGGAATTCCAGGATCCTAAAATGGAGGTACTGTACCATATAAGGCCATATTTTGTGGGGATATTCCCTTACATAGGCCTTACATAGGCCTTATACATGGTAGGTACCTCCAATCTAGGATCCTGAAATGGCCATTGATATGATCCCATGTCAGTATGATGAGTCTGATAAGTTATTTTTAGTCACATGTGAAATGTATCATGACATTCCAATGATTATTCCATGATTAGCCTGGAATCAAACATGGTTTTCTGATGTTTTCTGAAGACCTCCCAGAGGCCAAGAAGTTATTTGGGGAACAAGGGATCGACCCCCTGGACCTGTGACCCGGTGTGTAATATCTATCCGGGCCATTCTGCAGACATTTCATCATCAGCAACCATGACTTGATCTCAAGTATTAATCCGCGATTCCTTCAGAGTCCAGTGAAGCCATACATGGCATATCTATATATATATATATTTCCACATACATACATATACATATACATATACATATACATATACAAAAACATACATATATATATATATACTATATACGTATATGTATATAAGATCAACAAAGGTATTAGGGAATATTAAAATCCCACCTCCATTAAGCTCTACATCCAATTGGGAAGATCAAGAAAGGTATTAGGGAATATTGAAATCCCACCCCCGTTAAACTCTTCTTTGAATTGGGAAGATCAACAAACGTATTTTAATCTTCCCTAACATGATGTTGATGATGATGATGATGATGACGATGATGATGACGATGATTATGCGTTGCCCGTCGTCGTTGCGGTTCGGGGCAAAGGCCAGGCATTTGCCGTACATATATACTACATACATACATACATACATACATACATACATACATACATACATACATACATACATACATACATACATACATACATACATACATACATACATACATACATACATACATACATATACATATATACATACATATATATATATATACATATATATACATATACATATATATATACAGTATACATATATATATATATACATATATATATATATATATCTATATACATACATACATATATATATATATACATACATACATACATACGTACGTACGTACGTACGTACATACATACATATATATATATATACACATGTATATATATATATGTATCATGTATGGCTTCACTGACAAGACCGCTAGCTTGTCCATTACCAAATCAGGAGCTTGAACTTCGGACACTGGCGAGGGCACACAGGGCCACTGTGGGGATAGGAAACCGGGTTTAGCGGGTATCAGAATCACGAGCGAATGACTACCATTTTTCCAGATTCATATACATATATATATATATTTACATAATATGCATATCCCCATGGCGTTTTTTTTTTTGATAAGGTGATGTTCTATTTTCCCACTGGCAAATCCACTACGACTGGGGAATCTAGAGGGAATGAATCTTCTTATTTTGTTGTGGTTCAAATCCTCCCGATTATCTTAGATCATCTTCCCACAAAATCATCTTTGTTCAGCCTGGCTGACCTGAGCAAGTGACTGGGGTCAGCACTGGTTCGTTTCCGTAGGCTTTGTGAAGGGCCACGTCTAAATCGTATAGTGGGATGATCCTGCAGGTAGCTGCTTTCGGATAAATCAGCTAAGCCAATCAGCCAAGCATTTGTTTCTTGTCGGAGAATAAAGACATGATTGATTTCTTTGTACTAACCAGCTATAAAACATATCATTTTTCTTGCCGAGTATTAAAAAAAGATGGGCTCAAAGATTTTGAAGTTTGACCACATAAAAAGACCAGGAAACCACATTCCCCAGGTCGGGATATTGATCGAGTTTTGGTCAGCGAGTTGCGAAAGGATCGGTGTATCCAACAAAAATGTGGTAATGTGGGTAAAACAATGTCATAAACCACCCATGTTTTTTTTTTTTAAACCCATTTATGGTGATTTGGGGGATGGTTTATTTTTGTTTTACCCACATTACACACGTTATAAAACCCACATATGATGGAGATATGATGGGATATCAACAATCGATGGATGTCTCGAATATGGAGAAGGGTTCAATATTGTTGACCTCCTAAATGGACGACCTTGGCTAAAATCTACTCCTGTAGATGTCCTGTTCGAATCAGTCCCTTGTTGGTGGGTAGACCAAAAAAATGGTACACGATTGACCGCCGATTTCATCGTCCGACTGATCCAAATTGTTGCATAACAAATCACCCATCCTTCCCATTTTCCCGGAGATTTCCCAGTGATTTCCCATCCTATTGGATTTCCCAGTGATTTCCCAGTGATTTCCCATCCCCTATGATTTTCCCATGGATTTTTTGGAGGATCCTCGAGACTCCCAGGTCCTGGGGGCGCTCTCCAGCTCAAGAAATCGTCTTACGCAACTCAGTTCCTTGGCGGATTTTTGTCGGCTTTCCATCTGGTTAGTTGGCCTGGTAAACATTCTAACAACATCTAACAACTATTGGTTAGTTGGCCTGGTAAACATTCTAACAACATCTCTATTGGTTAGTTGGCCTGGTAAACATTCTAACAACATCTAACAACTATTGGTTAGTTGGCCTGGTAAACATTCTAACAACATCTAACAACTATTGGTTAGTTGGCCTGGTAAACATTCTAACAACATCTAACAACTATTGGTTAGTTGGCCTGGTAAACATTCTAACAACATTCTAACAACATCTAACAACTATTGGTTAGTTGGCCTGGTAAACATTCTAACAACATCTAACAACTATTGGTTAGTTGGCCTGGTAAACATTCTAACAACATCTAACAACTATTGGTTAGTTGGCCTGGTAAACATTCTAACAACATCTAACAACTATTGGTTAGTTGGCCTGGTAAACATTCTAACAACATCTAACAACTATTGGTTAGTTGGCCTGGTAAACATTCTAACAACATCTAACAACTATTGGTTAGTTGGCCTGGTAAACATTCTAACAACATCTAACAACTATTGGTTAGTTGGCCTGGTAAACATTCTAACAACATCTAACAACTATTGGTTAGTTGGCCTGGTAAACATTCTAACAACATTCTAACAACTATTGGTTAGTTGGCCTGGTAAACATTCTAACAAACATCTAAACAACTATTGGTTAGTTGGCTGGTAAACATTTCTAACAACATCTACAACTATTGGTTTAGTTTGGCCTGGTAAACATTCCTAACAACATCTAACAACTATTGGTTAGTTGGCCTGGTAAACATTCTAACAACATCCTAACAACTATTGGTTAGTTGGCCTGGTAAACATTCTAACAACATTCTAACAACTATTGGTTAGTTGGCCTGGTAAACATTCTAACAACATCTAACAACTATTGGTTAGTTGGCCTGGTAAACATTCTAACAACATCTAACAACTATTGGTTAGTTGGCCTGGTAAACATTCTAACAACATCTAACAGCTATTGGTTAGTTGGCCTGGTAAACATTCTAACAACATCTAACAACTATTGGTTAGTTGGCCTGGTAAACATTCTAACAACATCTAACAACTATTGGTTAGTTGGCCTGGTAAACATTCTAACAACATCTAACAACTATTTGGTTAGTTGGCCTGGTAAACATTCTAACAACATCTAACAACTATTGTTAGTTGGCCTGGTAAACTCTAACAACATCTACAACTATTTGGTTAGTTGGCCTGGTAAAACATTCTACAACTCCTAACAACTATTGGTTGTATGGCCTGGTAAACATTCTAACAGACATCTAACAACTATGGTTTAGTTGCCTTGTAAACATTCTAACAACATTCTAACAACTATTGGTTAGTTGTGCCTGGTAATTCTAACAACATTCTAACAACTAGTTGTACTATTGGTCTGGTAAAACATTCTACACCCATTCTAACAACTATTGTGGTTAGTTTGGCCTGGTAACCATCTACAACATCTAACAACTATTGGTTAGTTGGCCTGGTAAACATTCTAAAAAACAACATCTAATCTAAAACAACTATTGGTTAGTTGGCCTGGTAAACATTCTAACAACATCTAACAACTATTGGTTAGTTGGCCTGGTAAACATTCTAACAACATTCTAACAACTATTGGTTAGTTGGCCTGGTAAACATTCTAACAACATCTAACAACTATTGGTTAGTTGGCCTGGTAAACATTCTAACAACATCCTAACAACTATTGGTTAGTTGGCCTGGTAAACATTCTAACAACATTCTAACAACTATTGGTTAGTTGGCCTGGTAAACATTCTAACAACATCTAACAACTATTGGTTAGTTGGCCTGGTAAACATTCTAACAACATCTAACAACTATTGGTTAGTTGGCCTGGTAAACATTCTAACAACATCTAACATTCTAACAACATTCTAGCAACTATTGGTTAGTTGGCCTGGTAAACATTCTAACAACATTCTAACAACTATTGGTTAGTTGGCCTGGTAAACATTCTAACAACATCTAACAACTATTGGTTAGTTGGCCTGGTAAACATTCTAACAACATCTAACAACTATTGGTTAGTTGGCCTGGTCAACATTCTAACAACATCTAACAACTATTGGTTAGTTGGCCTGGTAAACATTCTAACAACATCTAACAACTATTGGTTAGTTGGCCTGGTAAACATTCTAAC